TCTGAATGAAATAGCTCATAGAGAAATTTTCTCTGGACTTTGGCATCAGTGACTAGAGCAGTATTACCTTAGGAATGAAATGAAATTAATATCCAGGATGTTTCCTCAGTTCTAACAGGTAGCTGTTAGAAACACAATCTATTATAAACATGAGTCCTAGCTGCCTTTTTAGAAGATTTATATATAATAGTAAAACTCTTGAAAACTTTAGGGTTTTTTGTTTGTTTGTTTTGATTAGCTAGGATCATGTAGAAGGCTTTCAGTTGTAAGTGATAGAAAATTTACTTCAAACTGGCTTTAAGCCAGTAAAGAATTCTCGGCAAATATACCTGAAATCTAGAGGAAGAACAGGCTTCAGGTGAAGCCTGACATGATTAACCGTGTCATGGTAGTATCTGCTTTATTCAAAGGTTGGTCCCCATGTGAACACAAAATGGATTCTAGTTGCTCCTGTTACTCCATTGAACGTCTTGAGCTTAACTCTGATTGGACCAATGTGGGTGCATGTGTCCATCTTTGAACAGATAATGTGGCAAGGTGTATTGTATTTGTTGGCTTAAGTGACTCAAAGCTGGAACTAGAAATGGGTTCAATTCCATCCAAACTGTATGGCCTCAGAAATTTGGGGTCTTATTAAGACAAAAGAAGAGGGGGGTGGATGCTAGAGTGGCAATCAGCAGTGCCCCCCACCATGTCTTACTGCCTTCAAATATCTTGTCCATTTTATTGTCTACTACAGTGTTTCTCAACCTTGGCCAGATAAATCTTTGTTGTGGGTGCTGTCCTGTTTAGGATATTTAGTAGCATCTGTGGCCTCTACCCACTAAGTGCTAGTTCTTGACAGCAACTTGTTGTTATATACAGTATTATAAAACATATACAGAAAAAGGAAATGAAATGATGGGGATTATTAATAAAGTGAAATGGAAATTGTAGTCTTTTCTTTCTGTATTCCATTAGTTCATTATGCATGTCTCTTGGAGTATACACCCCATTTTGGAAATTAATGGCCTAGCATATTGGTATCCAGTCAGGTTTGTCAGTTTCTCAACTGTGTATCCATAGTTCTATGTACGATGTTACCCTGTGTCACTTGGTTGTTGAATGTGACTTTTCCTGTTGTTTGAGCATTGGTTACTATGGTTGGCTAAACCAAAGAGCTGCTAAGTACCCCACGTTAGAGAGTGTCCACCCACTGGAACAAGACACTTCCTCAAGACTTAGACAAAAGAGGTGGCAGAATCTGCCTGGCTGCCATTACCACTCTACTACAGACTGTGTGTGCAGAGAAGAAAGGCTGTGGCCTGTGCTGTGTTGGGAGAAGGTTTTCCTGACATCGCTCCTACACTATCACCATCCTGCAGTAGATCTTGGCCATAGGTGGTAGGAGCTTGTAAGACCAAGAGAAGGGTGTCTTGCCCTCTGGCCAGGTGCTTTCTGCAGGTAAGAGACTGCTGTGTTTGCCCAGGCCAGCAGGATGTGAAGGACTGGTGCAGTCTGCTTGGGAAGGCTGTTGGGGGGACTTCCTACCACATACCAATCTTGGAATCCCTGCGTAGTGTAGACAGTTAATGCATTTGGCTGCTAACCCAAAAGTTTGTGTCCACCCAGAGGCACTTTTGAAGAAAGCACTGGCAATTTCCAAAAGGTTGAAAACCCTGTGGAACACAATTCTACTCTGATGCACATGAGATCCCCATTAGTCAGAATCAATTCAACAGCAGCTGGCCAATTTTGTTGCCACCTGGAAGGTGGGCTGCACTCTGCCATCCTGAAAGTGGTTGCCGACTCACTGTCAGTTGGGCATTGACCTTGTGTACAAACACAGCTTCCTCCCTGGTCATCCTCTGATCAGTGGCATAGATTTGGATGACAGTTGGCCAAAGTAGAGTGACTTGGGGACAAAGTAGGTAGAGGTGGGGACAAAGTAGGTAGAGGTGGTTGACCTGGATCATATTTGAACTTGTTGACTTCCTAATGAAAAGATCACCAGGTGCCCTGTTTCTTCCTGTCACCCTCATGTAATTGAACACAATGGAGGTCAGATATCTTACTCTGTAGCATCTTACTTTTCAGTTGTTCTTAAATATTACACTTTTTAAGCACATGGTTATTTCATAGTAGGTAAGAGTAATTTGTTTTGTGTAAATAGACATGGGTTGGAAAGTTTTTAGTTGTTTTTTTACCTGTGTCTTTTTTGAAGTGTTATGTCCCATTTTCTTTAGATTAGATGTTTTCTAGTGCTTAGAGAAAATTGTACAGACCAATATTAAGTTAGGCTCACTATTTTTTCTTGATACAAAAAACACATCAGAGTTTTAACGACCTGGTTGTCTTCTCAATCATATGATAGTTTAAAAAAATGATGGCTGTTTGGTACATTGTTCTCGTCCCACCTTCTTCCCTTCCAATTCTGACTAAGGCCCACTGACTTAGCTTTGACCTGGACAGGCTTTGGCTCACAGCTCAGAAAACACTGTGATAAACAATTTAGGATGATTAGCATGGTGATTTTAAACCAGGTTTACCTAAATAGCCAAAAATGATTATTTTCCTCTCTTCTCCTTGTTCCTTTGCCTCCGAATCTCTATATTTCAGTCTCTAATTCTGACATTCATATTGTTCATTGTAAATTGAAGCTAAATGATAATTCCTTCTTCATATGATTATTAGAGGACCAAATGCTTGTCATAAAGTAATCATTCAGTAATAGCAGTAGTGGCTATTACTTAACCCAGTAGCTTCCAGCTCTTAGTTATCAAGATTTTACTTGCTATATGGGACTATAAACCAAAAAAAAAGACCAAACTCACTGCCATCGAATCAGAGCCAACTCATAGCAACCCCTCCTTGGGTTTCCAAGGAATGGCTGGTGGGTTTGAACCGCCAGCCTTCTGGTTAGTAGTCAGGTGCCTTAGGCACTATGCCACCAGAGCTTCTATATGGAACTATAGGTCCGTGATTTTAAAGTACTGCTGGGGGTTTTACGTTATTCATTACATGAGGGTCTGTGAGGTGCTGGGTTTTCTCCCTGATGTCCAACCCTTACTCCTGGTGGAGGAGAGAAGCTGACTTAAATATTCCATGTGTGCCCAGGCTCTCCTTCCTTCCTGTGGTTACTTTCCCCATAATACTGGTGCTGTGGTATTTTTGAACCACCTGTTGTAGGCCAGGTACTATAGTTAGTGCTAGAATATGTGAATACACAGCCCCTGACAAGTACACATTCTAGTGGGAGAAATAATGTCTCATAAAAGGTAGACCCATGCCAAACAGGAAGATTTAATTAATGACATGTTTCCAAAAAAGCCTAATTAAAAGGTTAAAGCCATTCCACTTCAGGAGTATAGTTGAATAAGAGCTTACCAGTAGTTGAGTGGAGAGAGATTATATTAGTGAAATGCTTAAATTATAGAACATGCCTTAATTCAAGTATGTAGAATAAAAAAACCAAACTCACTGCCATCGAGTCGGAATCAACTCATAGCGACCCCTCCTTGGGTTTCCGAAGCAGTATCTCTATGGAAGTAGATTGCCCAACCTTCCTTCCGAGGAGTGGCTGGTGGGTTTGAACCGCCAGCCTTCTGGTTAGCGGTCAGATGCCTTAGGCACATGCCACCAGAGCTCCTAATAAGTACTTGAATTAATTGTTAGCATTCTTGCCAAGAAGGGCAGTGGGGTTTGGAGGTAGAATTCTCACCTTCCATGTGGGAGACCCTGGTTTAATTCCAAGCCACTGCGCCTCAAGTGCAGCTACCACCCGTCTGTCGGTGGAGCTGTTGAGTTGCTGTGATGCATAACAGGTTTCAATGGAGCTTCCAGGCAAGAGTCTATGAATCACAACGATCTCATCCTGTGCCTGGGGTCGCCATGAGTCATGGGCCAATCGGATGGCAACGAACAACAATTTTTGCCAAGTGGAAGCCCTAAGAATTTGTTTTAATGAGGAATTAATATTTTTATAGTTTGCTGATTAACTGTGTAAAGAAACTACTATGTAACTTGCCTAGAGACTAAAATGAGGCTGTTAATAAATGGTATTTTCAAATATTTAGATTTCTTAAGATATAATTCTCATTGAAATCTCAATTTAATACTTCTTTAGCTTAGCAAATACTGTTTGTGAACCTGATGCTGGGGATACAGAGGTGAATAAGACACACATCCTGGCCTTGAGGAGCTCACATTGTGAGCAGCAGCATTTTCCAAAGAGTAAAACATGTATCACTAGAGGTGTGGGTGATGATTCCAGGTGGTACGTGATGTTGCTGATCATAAATAGCCATCAAAGATGTAATTTCAGGGACATTATTACTTAGGGAAAGATGAAAGTAGGTATTTTAGGGTAGAGACATGAGCTGTTTTGAAGAAAATATACAGTAGTAATTCAGGTCATATTTCAATATCAATAACTTGTAAAGGGCTGTACTCAAGTGACTGTCACCAGGAGAACACTAGTCCAGAGAGACTGAGACAATAATGGGAACACAGAGGGTGAACTGATTACTTCTGACAGAGGGAAGCCCAAGAACTTTAAAAAAAAAATAAATAAATAGTTAAAGGTAAGCTTTAGCTTAATTTTCAGTGGAGTTCAGATGAATCAGATTTTAATAAAAATTTATATTTTCTCAAACATTGATTTTAAAAATAGTAGCATTATCTGAATAACTATTTTGAGTGTGCAACAATGCATTTTCTAGAATATTTATTGCAATGTGGTAGTGAAATTGGAAATGATACGAATATTCGGCAATAGGAAATTGGTTAAAATACTATACATCAATACAAAACGATAGTATGCAGCTATTACAAATGGTAGTTACTTCTTTAATTGATGAAATCTCAACTATATTTTTTTACTTCCCTGTATGTTCTAATTTTTATTCAGTGAACTTACATGCTTTTATAGAAATAGAGAAACATGCACATTTCATTTGTGTAGAAAATGGTGTTGCTTTTCTGATCTTGCTGTCATTTTTTTTTTTTTTTTCCAGGTGTGGGGGCACAGTTGGTGCTATTTTCACTTGTCCACTAGAAGTCATTAAGACAAGGTTGCAATCTTCAAGACTGGCACTTCGGACTGTCTATTATCCTCAGGTTCATCTGGGGACCATTAGTGGAGCTGGCATGGTGAGACCAACATCCATGACACCTGGACTCTTACAGGTTCTGAAGTAAGTTTAGTTCCCCCCAGACGTCTGTGCTGCTGCCGCGTGCACACCCATCCCCACTGTCCCTTGCAAAATGTTTGTAAAGCACATCAACTGAGGTGCTCTGTTTGCCGAATCTTGTGTGTCCAAATTTAAGAATTAAGTTTCTTTACCAATACCACTGAACTCTGATCTCGCTCCCTTAGTGACAGGGGTCATGCTGTGCACGTGCTTGTCGCCTGGACAGTTCAGTAACCCTGACAGAGCCAACGGAAAATCCTCAGACTACCCCACTTACCCAAAACCTCTTCTTAGCAAGAAGATTGATCATTGGATTCTACTAGAGTAGAATTTTAAAAATCACACGAAGGGCTGTGAAAATTTTTAGAGAACATAATACGGAAAAATTTTTTTCCACTTTTTATTTGAAAATAAATTTATAGAAAAGTTGCAATATGTATTACTGATTTTTTTTAAGTTTTGTTTCATAGCCATTTTATTATTTTCACTGCATTAAAAGCATCTTGTATACTTACAACATAGCTAAATGATCGTAAGTTGGATTTGGCTTATTGGTCTCTACACTTGAAAACTCAGAAGTTCAGATCCCCACTTAACAATATCTGACTTTTAAAAAAGCTTGGAACTTTGTCCTTTCAAAGAGGTCATCAATATATTAGTTAAATTTAACTGAACATAGTATTCAAATCTTTGAAACCATTTCAGATAAGGTATTTTTAAGATTCTCCAGTGTACCTCAGCTGATACTTAATAGCTTATAAGTGAAAAAAAAAAGAAAAATGACTGCTTTGGCTGCTGTTATGTTCAAGAAAGACATATTGTCCCTTATCAGTGTAGATTCTTAGATGGGAACTGTTAGAAAAAGATGCAGTAAAATGGAAATGCTTTGTCTGAGTAACCACCCATTTAGCACTTTGGTCAGAGTTCAGTCACATTTTAGATAAGGCAGAATGAATTGGAAAGGGCTTCATTTATTTTTAGGTACATTTTGTTTGTAAAACCTGCCTCTGAGTCACTCAAGTGTCCATGCCAAATGTGTGTGCAGGTGCATCTGAGTTTGTTGAGCAAAGATAGGACAGTAGGACCAGCTGCTGGGGACAAGGTCCCGAGTAAAAGACTCTGCAACCCAGTGAGGGAAGGTGAGGGGAGCTGGTATCCAAGTTTCTAGAAGAACGAGTTTTTTAAATTAAACATTAAGAAGAGGAGTGAAGGCACCAAAGGCAGGGAATTAGGGATAAACACAGGAAAAATAGAAATACAGAAATTTGGAGGCACTCTTTGATCTCAGAAAGAAGAACTACAAACCCAGGGTCCTCAAAAAGGCAGGGCTGTGAGAAGCACCCACATCTTGGTTTGCCTTTTGACATATTAAGGTGTTGGCAGTGCTGTAGATGGCACCTTTTTTTAAGGAACATGAAGTGCTTTGGACATAATGAAATGAAGACAGGTAGTTTGCCAACTAACATTTAAAATGAACTTCCTCTTACTTGCTTGCCAAATAACTCATGACTAGTGAATTTATATTTACCGTAGCTGGGAAACTCTTAACCAGAAGTTATATGTGTCAACAGGTCAAGCTCATAAGGAAAATGAGAATATTTCTATATTTCAAATTTTTCAGGATTCATTTTCTGTATGCCCAGTGTCTCTGTTTCTCTATTGCCATAAATATCTCTGTGTATATTTTTTAACACACAAGTAAGATCTTACTGAAGATAATTCAGAAACGTTTGCAGCAGTATATTGACAGAGAACTTCCAGAGGTTCAAGCCGGATTCAGAAGAGTACGTGGAACAAGGGACATCATAGCTGTTGTCAGATGGATCTTGGTCAAGGCAAAGAATACCAGAAAGATGTTTACTTGTGTTTTATTGACTATGCAAAGGCATTTGATTGTGTGGATCATGACAAATTATGGATAACATTGAGAAGAATGGGAATTCCCGAGCACTTGATTGTACTCATGAGGAATCTGTACCTTGACCAGGAGGCTGTCGTTCGAACAGAACAAGGGGATACTACATGGTTTAAAATCAAGAAGGGAGTGCGTCAGGGTTGTATCCTTTCTCCACACTTATTCAATCTATATGCTGAGCAAATAATCCGAGAAGCTGGACTATATGAAGAAAAACGTGGTATCAGGATTGGAGGAAGAATCATTAACAACCTGAGATATGCAGACGATACAACTTTGCTTGCTGAAAGTGAGGATGACTTAAGGCACCTACTGATGAAGGTTGAAGAATACAATCTGCAGTATGGATTACGTCTCAATATAAAGAAAACAAAAATCCTCACAACTGGACCAATGAGCAGCATCACAATAAATGGAGAGAAGATTGAGGTTGTCAAAGAATTCACGTTGCTTGGTTCTACAATCGATGCCAACGGAAGCAGCAGTCAGGACATTAGACAACGTGTAACATTGGGAAAGTCAACTGCGAAGGAACTGTTTCAAGTGCTGAGGAGCAAGGATATCTCCTTGAGGACTAAGGTGTGCCTGACACAAGCCATGATATTTCCAGTCGCCTCGTATGCACATGAGAGCTGGACAATGAATAAGGAAGACCAAAGAAGAGTTGATGCTTTTGAGTTGTGGTGCTGGTGAAGAATGCTGAAAGTACCATGGACTGCTAAAAGAACTAACAGATCTGTCCCGGAGGAAGTGCAGCCAGAATGCTCCTTGGAAGCAAGAATGGCCAGACTTCGTCCCACCTATTTTGGTCATGTTGTAATAAAGAACCATTCCCTGGAGAAGGATGTCATGCTTGGTAGGGTGGAGGGTCGACGAAAGAGGGGGAGGCCTTCAACAAGATGGATTGACACAGTAGCTGCAATGATCGGCTCAAGTATAGCAGGGACTGTGGGCTGGCGCGGGATTGGGCAGTGTTTCGTTCTGCTGTGCATGGGGTCGCTATGAGTCAGAAACGACTTGACGGCACTTAACAACAACAACAACATATTTTTTAAGATTCTCCAGCCCACCTTAGCTGATATTTAATAGCTTTTAAGTGAAAAAAAAAATGGCTGCTTATATGTGATATAGGAGCCCTGGTGGTGCAGTGGTTAAGCACTCAGCTGCTAACTGAAAAGTTGGTAGTTTGAACCCACCAGCCATTCCACAGGAGAAAGTTACAGGCAGTCTGCTTTCATAAAGATTTACAGCCTTGAAAACCCTATGGGGCAGTTCCCCTCTGTCCTGTACGGTCACAATTAGTCAGAATTGGCTTGACAGCAGTGGGGTTTTGGTTTATGGAATATGATATTAATGATTTTTCACAAGTACCTTAACACTCAGGCAGGATATTATGCCTGTTTCACAGATGAAGAGACATAGATTAGAAGTTAAATGACTTTTCTGAGGTCATATTTGATATACATTTGCCTATGTTTTTCAGGGTTTTATATATACCATCCCATTGTCCTCTCACCTCCCTGGTTTCTGCTGAGAAATCTGAGCTTAGTCTTATTGGTTGCTCCTTGTAAGTAACTTATCGTTGTTCCCATGCTGCTTTCAGGATTCTTTCTTTCTCTTTGGTTTTGGTGAGTTTGAGGATGATATATCTTGATGATTTTCTTTCGGGGTCTATCCTGTTTGGGGTTCATTAGACTTCTTGAATTGATATATTCTTATCTTTCATCATACCAGGGAAATTCTCTTCCAACAAGTCTTTGACAATTTTCTCAGTGGGTTTATTTGTCTCTTCCTGTTCTGGATTTCTGATTACATGTAGGTTATTCCTTTTGGTGGTATCCCACATGAACCTTAGGCTTTCTTCATTTTGTTTTGATCTTTTTTCTGATTGTTCCCTTTCCAAAGAAGTATTGAGGTATTTGTCTTCAGTCTTACTAATTATGTCTTCCATTGATTCAGTTCTACTCTTTTGCCCTTCCAGGGTGTTATTAATGAATGTTTAGTATTGATCTTCTGGATTTCTATCTGTAGATTTTGTATCATTTCTAATTTTTCATTTATTTTGTCATTTTGTCCTTGTATTGTCTTTCAAATTGCACTAGGGTTTTCTCTATGTTTTCCTCAATTTTGTCAGTGTTTTCCTTGATCTGTCTCTCAATATGTTGAAGGTATTCTTTTGAATTCCTTACCAGGGAGTTCCAATGCTGCTTCTTCCTCACGAATGTGTTCTGGGTCTGCATCCTGGTCCCTTGTTTCTTCTGCTTTATCTTGCTTCTTTGGACTCTGGTGCTTTGTTGTCTCACAGACATTGTGACGTTTTTTGTGTTTATGTTTAATTGGTGATAGTATGTTGGAGTGATTTGTCCAAGATTTTCATTTTCTTTGTTTTGTTTGGATGTTATCTAAGTAAGCATTGTACTATGCTCCACTATTCACTAGTTGGCAGCATTTATACACTCACCACCTGTCCCCTTTCCCATTGTCAGCCTCCCCATATGTCCCTGCTGTCATTGGCAAGCAGAGCCTATTCTTAGGTCCCTGGAATCTGAATGAGAATGCTGTCACTTTAAATATCCAAAATGGCCACTGCTTGTAAACATTCAAAATGGTTGCACCCTCGGTCACTTTAAATATCCAAAATGGCTACCACTTGTAAACAGTCAAAATGGCTGCACCCTCTGGACAGCCGAAGGTCCATAGCTCAGGTTGTCTCCCTCTTTGCTATTTCTCTTACTAGTCATCAGCCACCAGCACAGTCATCCCTGCAGCCCTTGGCAATCAGGGCTGATCTTTAGGTCAATTCTCAGGTCCCAGCACCACTTGGAAATATTCAGGCTGTTGGTGCTGTCAGTAGCTGACAGTCCACAGCTCCGTCCATCTCCATACTCACTGTTTTCATTCAGGTTCTTCCACTAGTTGGTGCCTAATCTACTTCTGTATAATTCCTTTCAAATCTCAGGGCTCCAAGATTACCTACTGTATCTCTGTCAATTGGTTTCTCTTTTCTTTGTTGAAGAGGGTCTGTCTATTCCGCCATCTTACCATAAATCTTCCCATTTGCCTATTTCTAAGAAAGATTTGAAGCAGG